TCACCCTTATATCTCGTCGAAACTTCATTACGAAATGGTGTGTGGTGGTACGTAAATCGTGATTTCCTGTGTCGGGTAGCTGTCGAAGTGGTTAGCTTCATTGCTGGCGTACAGCTAAGTTTCTTGCGTTTTTCAGATTCTTTGTGATTTGTGTTTTTGAGTGTCTTTGCTGCGATGGTGAGAATAAATGTAGCATTTTTTGCGTGTTGTGCGGAAGGGGATGTTTGGATGTCATTGAATGGGCGCAAGTACCTAGTTTGCGGTAGGATTTAAGTGTTCTGAATGGAAGTGACCTATGAGGTTGGCCAAGCGAAAGAAACTGTGTGTTGGTTTCGAGTGGAAGTGTAGCAAGAAAGGGGACATTCATGTGCGTAAGTATTCCATGCGATAGGGGTCATGGTTTGCGGGAAGCAAGGCTAGTATGCTTCAAGTATTAGTAATACCTATCGTATATAGTAATACTACTATTTTGGGTTATAAAAGACTACTACCTTCTTACTATACTACCTATCTTTGGGTTATAAAACCGCCATAAAAATCGCCTATCGGTAGGTTTCTGTCGAAACGCTTAGCGTAATTTGAGGGAGGGCTAGAGGAGACTCCTCGCCTTAGCTTTCTCCCCTCCTTCTCTAAGGGTGTACCGTGTACCCTATTTTAACCATAATATTATAACCATGTATTTTAACCAATGGTTCGTAACTGGTCACGATCTTCACGTCATATGTTAGGGTAGGCAATTTCAACTCCGTATATTGTCGGGGCTCCATTATCAAATAGTGTCGCAACCATGGTGATGTGCCCCCTGTGATTTTGTGCGTCCGGGTGGCGGTCGAAGTGGTTAGCTACGTTGCTATCTTACAATTCTTGCGCTCTTCTGGTTAATTGTGTTTTTTCAGTGTGGAGAGTTAGTGAAACGATGGTGTGAATAAAAGTATTGTTTCTTTAACCTGTTTTGTCGAAAGGAGAATTTGGTTGGAATTGAGTGGGCGCAAGACAACGTGGTTCGATTGCTGCAGGATTTGTCCTTCGGTATATGGGATGAGGTTGGTCTAGCGAAAGCTGTGTGATCGTTTCGAGTGGAAGTGTAGTAAGAAAGTGGCTACTCATATGCGTTCTGTACGTAAGGAGTCAGCTGAGAGGTTTTGCCGTTCCTTGAGGGCGTCTCCAAACTTCACGATACGTTAAAGTTGCATATCGACAAGTTTTATTAGTTTATTTCAGAGCGCTTAGCGTAGTTTGAGAGAGGGCTTAAGAATACTCTTCTCCACCTCCCCTGCCCCTTCACAACACCATTTCCAAAGCCACGCTTCTGTAAAGGCGTACCGCATTCTCTACTTTAACCATCCGCTGCACCGCTTCCCTAAAGGGGGTTCCGCGTATCTACTTTAACCAATTTATCTACTGACACTCATTTTTTCTCGTTAAAAATTAACAGCTTATGATAAGAATCTTTCGAAAGGGCCTAGAACAAGAACTGTCAATGCCATTTTATTCTGTTTCCTTTTTTGAAGCAAAAATAAAACTTATTACAAACCTTGAATATTCCTGGATATTATATTTGTCACTATTAACAAAGTCTAAAAATATATTTTCATACAGGTTGTAACTTGTTTCTAGACTACCAATCTGAAAATTAATACATTAATTTGTTCTACTTCATTCAGGCCCTTTTTTTGCGTGTTCCTAATTATGCAACGCGTCTCGTAACCCTCTTTGAGCATTGAGCAATTGTTATCATTAGGAGTAAACCTCCTTTTCTTTTTTATATAGCCGGTATTATTAAGAGTTAACATGGATTTAAACAACTGCACTTTACGTAAATCAGCTGTTACGGTATATTCCAATCGGCAGGTTGTACGTCACAGTAGTAGCTGAGGACCTGCCAAGTGCAGCTGTAAATACATTTGTCCGTATGTCGTCAAGCGGACCGCCAGGTATAGATCGATTTTTATAAGAAAGGACCGTTTTGAGAGCTAGTGCTGGCAACATAAATAAAGGCTCCATCCGTGGTTCTGTAGTAGTCTCCTTGAGCTCATTTGACTCTTCCTCATTCGTACGTTTACAGTTGGCTAACTTGTAAATGGCTTCGACGTTTCCTTTTCTGATGTCCTCATCCGACGAAAATATAGTGCGCTACGACAAATAATTGAATTTCGGAAGTGTAGTGCTACGAGTTCATCTGTATAAGTTGTTTCATTGAATTAATTTTTTGTGTGATATGTATGTTTGTTTTCAAATAGAGTCTTTAATGCGAAATGCGTTCTAGTGCGCGTGATTCCTGCTCCTGCGCGGAAAATGGCGACTAGTAATCGAGGAGAATCGTGCAATGACGTAACGTGTGCGCCTGGGTAAAAAAGGCCTAGTTTTAGAGGATATTTTTATTATTTAAGGTACCAACACTACCGGTTATGAACCTTGAGAAGCCAATATGTCTTAACGAAAGCCATAAATGAACGTAAACACTTTATGAAGAGGCGTGGCTGAACAGCTGTCGCGGAGGCGGGATCTCTGACAGTACTCTGAAGTACATAATATGTACTGGATTGGATTCAGAATAAATAATTAAAACGCGCGTTTTTGATGAAATTTGGTAATAGAAATATTCGCTACCGCGTAATTGAAACATATTTTGCATTGTAAAACGAGCTACAGATTTCATATAATAGTCAATAAAATAATTAAATCTCCCACTCTTCTCGCATCTAGTGAATCGAGGGCTCAAGAAAACTTGAGCTGGTAATACCTTCTTATACTTCGGTTTCTATAATGTGGCGCGTCAGGGCCTGTCTTCACGATGGAAAATATAATAATAATATGCCTTTATTAATATGGCGAGGCTCCGGCCATCAGGCCCGCTCTTCCGCCTGACCACATGACACAAATATACAGAGTAATGTATTAAATAGTTAAATTACAGAAAAGTAATGTTATTTAAAATTTAAATTTAATGTAATCTACAAGTTGTAAGTAGTTAGTGGAAAGCA